AGCTCCTTCACATTTCATCTCAACCAAAAATTAAAACAGTAAGCCCTCCAATGTGTTTGAGAAACTTTTCTCCAGTTTTTACAATACTACAGTGGAAAAGTAGAACTAACTTCCTGCCCTTAGAAAAATACAGGCAAAATATAGACAAAACTGAAATCATATACTACCTTAGCATCCAAATTAATCCTGGAAGAGATATTTTACCATGAATTTAAAATCTTAAGAACAGAAGAAGAATCTTAAATACAGAAGAAAGCAGGCTGCAAATGCTTTCTTGGTTTGATTTTAGCATATTGCTCTACTTTATCAATGATTTCCTATCCATATAATCAAGTTATGGTTTGCCAGACATCTGTGTTTGTGTTTATGTATACTGTATATGTATGCATGTATGAATATACACACACACAAATATATGCACACCCTAAGTATGTATGTATTGTGTGTATGTTTGTGTATGACAGACAGTAGATATCTTCACACAGTAGATATTTCTTCAGACAATAGACTTCTTCATCTTCAGACAATAGATATTTTAAATTTGTGTGCGCACATATACATCCACAAATACATATATTTGTGGATGTAGATGTAAATGTGTACCCACATTTAAAATGTCTGCTGTCTGAATCTAAAGCAGAAATATATTCATGCAGTTTATAATTCTCACTGAAGGTTCCTCACTCAAAATTACCAACACACTTTGGCTCTGGCATTTGCTGTAAAGGAGATCAATGAAAATCCTGGGATTTTGTCCAATGTTAGCCTCGGTTTCCACATCGCTACCAACTATCTTGAGGAATATACAACTTCTCTTTTAGCAATGGAATTTCTATCCACAAAGGATAAATTTATCCCAAACTACAAATGTAATGACCAGACAAATATGATAGCCATCATTGGAGGACCCCATATTAGGACCTGTCTCAACATGGCAACCACTCTGTGCAACTACAAATTTCCCCAGGTGAGTTAAATGTGGAGCAAAATGGAAAGTTCACCAGTTTATTATTTTCAGATGTTGAGTCCTCATAATCACTCTTATAAAAAGGGTTCCAGAAGCAAACAAAATTTGTCATTTAATGAGAAAGTTATTAGATATGAAGATTATCAACAAAGAGTTCTCCTTGTTGCTTGATTAGCAGTACTAAATTTGCAGATATTAATTGGTAAAAAAAAATAGTTTTCAGGAAGTTGCCTTGCATGCCCACTCAAACACAGTAATTCTATTACATATGTATATACACATTAGTCCTTTATTTTTTTTTCTAGAAAACTCTCATTTCACTAGGTTCTTCTGTCTTTCTCCCACTTAGATCACATTTGGATCACCACCAATGACTTATAATGACAACTCAGCACTTTTTGTAAAATGGATGTTCCCTGACGATATCCACCAGGTTAAAGGAATACTATACTTACTGTTGCATTTTGGATGGACCTGGGTTGGGATGATTTGTTTGTATGAAGAAGATATGGAGAGATTTGTTCAAAAGAGTCTTCCCATGTTTTCAGAGAGAGGAATATGCTTTGACTTTATAGAATGTCTTCCCAAAGTGATGTTTGGTAGTGAATCTGCTGAAATGGTGGAGGAAGCAGATAAATTATATAGAGTGATCATGGGGAGCACTGTCACTGCAGTGATCTTCAATGCTGAAACTACAAGCATAGTGACATTGAGGATGATGCTCTCTGTTTTAGATTCTGATGATATTCCAAAGGAGAGAAAAGCCAAAGTTTGGATCCTGCCACCTCAAATGGAATTCACCTCTATTCTAATGCAAAGACCATTGTCCATTGATTTTCTCCATGGTGCAATTTCCTTTGCACTTCACTCAAAGGAGCTAAAAGGATTCCAACAATTTACGCAGAAGAAAAACCCAAACTTTGAAAAAGATGATGGGTTTATTAGGGATTTCTGGAGAGATGTATTTGAATGCTCATTCTCCAGTGATATTACAGATGGGAATGCTGAAAGGATCTGCACTGGAGAAGAGAAGCTGGAAACTCTTCCTAATTCTGTCTTTGAGACTACCATGGGTAGACATAGTTACAGCATCTACAATGCAGTCTATGCTGTGGCACATGCTCTGAGGGCCTTGCATGCCTCCAAACTCAAAGAGAGTCGAAAAATTGATAAGAGTAGCTGGAAGTACTTCCTTCAATCACCATGGCAGGTAATGTTTATTAATCCAAATCAGGAATCATGTAAAATCATGTAATCATGTAAAAAATGTTGGCTTATAGTTTTTTCCCCTCCTTTCTTTTTGAAAGTGTCTTTCTTTCTTTATATTTCATAATTCTTAACTGTTCACCTCCCTTCCTTTACAGATAGTTTTGAATGTTCGTGGTATTTTCTTATGCAAAAACTAAAGAAAATTAAAAACCTATTATTGTTTTCAAATATTATATTAATAATCTTAACAATGAAGATCATTTATGCAAAATTGGATGCAATTTGAAAATAAACTTAAGCTAAGGACAATATAAAAAGTGGAAAGAGGGGCAAATAACTAAGGCAGAATATCAGCAAATAGCCTGAGCCTGTAAAGATGAATGTGCAAAGATAAGACTCACAATGAACTAAGTCTTGCAACCAAAGTAAAAAAATAACCCAAAAAAATCTTCTTCCAACATGTTAAAAACAAGAAAAAGTTGGAAAGCAGTTAAAACCAAACTGTGATCCAGCCAACAAATAAGGTTAGGAGTGGAGGAACATCCCTGGAAACCAGTTAATTAAGCTGCAATCTAGCCAAAATAAAATTAGGAGGAGTGAAGGAGATATCTTTGAAGAATAGTTACTGATTTTGAAATGTTTTTTAAGAGAGGAATAAAACATTATATGTTGATTATTAGATGTGATTTAAAAGAAACTTGACTTGATTTGGGTCTTTGAAGTAAGGAGAATTTATGAAATATTGATTGTTAAAATGATAAATGAATATTATAAAGAGCTGTTTAGATTTGAAGTTTAAGATTTAGGGTGACTACATAATAGAATGTTAAATGTTAGAATAAGATGTTAGATTGAATGACAAAAATTGGGTTTAGAATTGTTTTTTTTCTTTCTTTTTTTTTTCTAAGATGTTAATTGATGAAATTTGGAAATTATACTTATTTTACACCGGACCAAACCTTTGCTCTAAAAAGATGTTGTTTTATGTGAAAAATAAATAAAAAATTTTCAAAAAAAAAAAAAAGTCAAGGAAACTATTGGTCCATTGCTGGAAGAAAGTGGCAAGAAGGTGACAACCAACAGGGAGAAAGCAGAACTACTTAACTCATTTTTTGCAGCTGTCTTTACAAAAAGGGAAAAAACTGTCCAACCTTTAAAAAACAGCACCACAAAAAGCAGATTAGGAACAGAAGTTAAAATAGGGAAGGAAATGGTAAGTGTGCAGCTATCTACCCTAGACGAGTTCAAATCACCAGGACCAGATGATTTACACCCCAAGGTTCTGAAGGACCTGGCAGACGAGATCTCAGAACCACTGAACTATATCTTTCAAAGATCTTGGAGCACAGGGGAACTGCCAGAGGACTGGAAAAGAGCTGATGTAGTTCCCATCTTCAAAAAAGGAAAAAAAAATAGATCCAGGAAGCCACAAACTATCAGCCTGACCTCAATACCAGGGAAGATTCTGGAAAAGATAATCAAGCAACGAATCAGTGAACACCTAGAAGCAAACAAAGTAATAACCAAAAGCCAACATGGGTTTGTCAAAAAACAGATCATGCCAGACAAATCTTATTGCATTCTTTGACAAGTGACAAAATTAGTGGACCAGAGGAATACTGTCAATATAATTTACTTGGACTTCAGTAAGACATTTGATAAAGTAGACCATAACCTACTACTAGATGAAGTAGAAAAATGTGGGTTAGATAGCATCACCACCAGATGGATTCATAACTGGCTGACCAAGAGCACTCAACATGTAGTCATCAATGGAACTGCCTTTACATGGAGGGTAGTATGCAGTGGAGTACACCAAGGCTCTGTTTTAGTCCCAGTACTCTTCAACATCTTCATCAATGACTTGAACAAGGGGATACATGGAGAACGCATCCAATTTGCAGATGACACACCAAGCTGGCAGGAATAGCCAACACTCCAGAAGATAGGCTGGAGATATAGAAGGACCTTGACAGAGTTGAACGTTGGGCGCTATCTAACAAAAAGAAATTCAATGGTGACAAAAGTAAGATTCTACTTTTAGGCAAGAAAAACAAAATGCACAGGTACAGTATATGTGGTACCTTGCTCAATAGTAGTAACTGTGAGAGGGATCTTGGAGTCCTAGTGGATAACCATTTAGATAAGAGCCAGCAGTGTGCAGCAACTGCCAAAAAAGCCAACACAGTTCTAGGCTAAACAGAGGGATAGAATCAAGATCATGTAAAGTGTTAATAGCACTTTATAATTCCTTGGTAAGGCCTCACTTGGAATACTGCATTCAGTTTTGCTCACCACAATGTAAAAAAGTTGTGGAGACTCTAGAAAGAGTGCAGAGAAGAGCAACAAAGATGATTAGGGGACTGGAGGCTAAAACATATGAAGAACAGTTGCAGGAACTGGGTATATCTAGTTTAATGAAAAGAAGGACTAGGGGAGACATGATAGCAGCATTCCAATATTTCTGCCACAGGGGCTGCCACAAAGAAGAGGGAGTCAAGCTATTCTCCAAAGCACCTGAAGGTAGGACAAGAAGCAATGGGTGGAAACTAATCAAGGAGAGAAGCAATTAAGAACTAAGGAGAAATTTCCTGACAGTTAGAACAATTAATAAGTGAAACAACTTGCCTCTAGAAGTTGTGAATGCTCCAACACTGGAAGTTTTTAAGAAGAGGTTGGATATCCATTTGTCTGAAGTGGTGTAGGGTATCCTGCCTAAGCAGGGGGTTGGACTAGAAGACCTTTAAGGTCCCTTCCAATTCTGTTATTCTACAGCAATAACCATGATTGATTTATTGAAAAAGTTTGAAAAAAACCCTACTACATGAACTTCAATCCAGGGGTGAAAGACCAGCTCAGGTGAGTAGGTAGTGATGGTGGAAGACAGTTCGGAGAACCGGTAGCAAAAATCCCTGCCCCCGCCCCCCATGCCCAGTTGAGCTGCACGATCATCAGAGCCTTTTTTTTCTTTTAAATGGCTCTGAGAGCCCGGCTCTGATGATCTCAGCTGTTGCCTGCTAATCGGTAGCAAAAATCCCTCCCCCTCCCCCCCTTGGCTTACTTACCTTAGCTGCTGGTCACAACGCCTTGCTGTAATCCCTGCAATCCATTGCAGCAGCAAGCAACTGAATCTCCCTGACTGCAATCAAGCAGGCAGAGAGTTGTGGACTTCAACTCCCAGAATTCCTCAGCCAGCAAAGCAAAGCTGGCTGAGGAATTCTGGGAGTTGAAGTCTACAAGTCTTAAAGTTGCCAAGGTTGGAAACCCCTGTTCTATTGGGAAAGCTGGTCTGTTGCTCAGTGGTCCAAAGTCCTCTTTTCTGATGAGAGCAACTTTTGCATCTCATTTGGAAACCAAGGACCCAGAGTCTGGAGGAAGAATGCAAGATGCTTGAAGTCCAGTATGAAGTTTCCACAGTCTGTGTTGATTTGGGGAGCCATGTCACCTGCTGTTGTGTTGGTCTACTGTGCTTCATTAAGTCCAGGATCAACGCAGCCATCTACCAGGAGATTTTGGAGCACTTCAGGCTTCCTTCCGCAGATGAGCTTTATGGGGATGCTGACTTCATTTTCCAGCAGGACTTGACACCTGCTCACACTGCCAAAAATGCCAAAACCTGGTTCAATGACCATGGGATTACTGTGCTTGATTGGCCAGCAAACACGCCTGACCTGAACCCCATAGAGAAGCTATGGGGCATTGCCAAGAGAAAGATGAGAGACATGAGACCGAACAATGCAGAAGAGCTGAAGGCCGCTATTGAAGCATCCTGGTCTTCCATAACACCTCAGCAGTGCCACAGGCTGATAGCATCCATGCCATGCCGCATTGAGGCAGTAATTGATGCAAAAAGGGCCCAAACCAAGTACTGAGTACATATGCACGCTTATCCTTTTCAGAGGTCCAATATTGTTCTATGTACAATCCTTGTTTTATTGATTTCATGTAATATTCTAATTTTCTGAGATTGTGAATTTGGGGTTTTCATGAGCTGTAAGCCATAATCATCAAAATTATGACAAATCAAGGCTTGAGCTATCTCGCTTTGCATGTAATGAGTCTATCTCATATATTAGTTTCACCTTTTAAGTTGCATTACTGAAATAAATGAATTTTTGCATTATATTCTAATTTTTCAAGTTTCACCTGTATATATTCTCCAACGGTAACCACTGAGGTGGAACAGAAGGGTGTTTTGGCCTATAAATGTCTATATTGCAGTATAGAAAAGTAAATATATAAATCCTAATATGCTAATGATATGTTAATCAAAGCAAGTTAATCTATCATTTTTCTTCCTTTTTCAATGTTGTGCTATAATTTTCATATAACACTTTTTCAGGTGAAAACAGACAACGGAGTAGAAGATCTATGTGATAGAGAAAATGTTTCTTTTTCAATTATAAACAAGTGTAGATTGGTGACTTTCCATTGGGCATAAACCATACTGAAGGAACTGAGAGTTCTCCATACAATTCAAGGAAGCCAGTTAAAATTTATATTTCTTTGATTTTTCATTCAGCTCCACCACTTTTTGCAGCACGTCTCTTTTAACAACAGTGCTGGAGAACAGGTTTCTTTTGGTCCCAATGGAGAATTTGAAACTGGGTTTGATGTTTTCAATTGGGTCACATTTCCAAACAAGTCCTTTCTGAAGGTCCAAATTGGAAAGTTCGACCCCATAGCTCCCCCAGAAAAGCTCCTTACCATTTCTGCCAAGGAAGCTGTTTGGCCCCATGTATTTAACCAGGTGTGTTTTATTTTTCACTTTTTTGGAAATCATGTATTCATTGATGCACAGAAGTAAATAATTAAATCACAATCACAATCAAACCGGTATTTAACAACCTCATTTTTCTTTTGTTTGATGTACCGTGTTTCCCCGAAAATAAGACATGTCCCAAAAATAAGGCCAAGCCTGATTTTTGGGGTGGACATAAATATACGCCCTCCCCCAAAAATAAGCCCTAGTGAAGGGGTGGGTGTGGTCAGCACAGGAGGCACCTCCCCGGTCACCTCCTGGAGGTTCAACCCCTTAATTGCTGCCCGCTGATCAGTTGAGCCAATGAGGCTGTGCAACTCGGCCCTGATCTCCAGAGCACCTCCCCAGCTGCTGGGCTCCTCCCCCTTTTCCTTCTGATCTTTCTTTACTTGGGATCGCAGCACATTCACACATCCCCCAAATGCTCCATCCGAAGCCTTCAGCCTTGCAATTCTGGAAGGGCCATCTTTGCTGCAATCCAAAGAAAGAACGGTGTGAGAAAGAGAGGGAAAGAGAGAGATCCCAACTCAACCTCGGAGCGTTATTTAGGGCTGGCAGCAACGTTCCTCCCCTCTCTCTACACAACACACACAGAGGTCCCTCTTCCCCTCAAACCTCCAAGGTAGCCACATCCCTTTACTAACCTGCTTTCCAGCTCCGTTCTCCACCGTCAATGCAGGTCAAGAAAAATACTCTGTGGGACTACGGTAAAAACAGCTTCCAACTTCGCGAGATATTTTTTTCTTCATGAGAAGTTGGAAGGTCTGAACTACTGGTATTATTTTTTTACCGTAGTCCAACAGACTACGGTAAGGGGAGTCTACGCAGGGGAGAACGGAGCTGGAAAGCAGGTTAGTGAAGGGATGTGGCTGCCCTGGAGGTGAGGGGGAGGGTTTGGCATGCGTGGCCTGACTGAAGGGCAATTCAGGTAAGCCGATGCGGGGCCTTGGGGCAGCTTCACAGCCCCTGCCTTGCTTTGTCATCCACCCCCACTACCACAACCTTGCTTCGTTCTTCTTTGCAATGTGCAGCCTCTCACAGTAAGGAGAATTGCAGGCAATTCTCATTACTGTGAGAGGCTGCCCATTGCTTATGGGCAGTGTGCAGTGTTGCATCTTCTGTAATGTTGACAGGCAGGCCAGGGATATGTGGGGAGAGAAACACACAGTAGAGCCCTGAAGGCAGAACCAGGGGTAAAGGGCTCCTGGCATGAACTGGTGTGAACAGGTTCAGGTTCACCTGCATGAACAGTTGTGCTGCGGGAATCTCAGGCCAGGGAGGCAGTGACCAAAAGCGGCGAGGCTCAGGATGGATTTGACTTGCTGCTGCGCGCCTCTTGGCCGGTTTATCTCAAAGGGTAGGTAGGCTGCGCGATTGGAGCACTTGGAGAGAGACAGGTGAAGGGGCGGGTGGGCTAGGGGAAGCACCACACTGGGCCTTTAAGCAGGGTGGGCCTTTGGGGAAGAGGATGAGGAAGCTGCCACTCTGCCGCCAAGGACAGCCACCCTGCTCGGAAGCGGAGGGTGGGGAGGGCCCAGTGTCTAGCGACTGGGAAAGGCTCGCACTTGGGAAGCTGTGGCCGCCCCAGCCAGCTGTGCGATGTAGGCTCAGCTGCCCCTGCACAGTGGGTACATCCACGGCCGCCACCCTCACCATCCAACATCTCATCTACCCAATCTTCCTGGTTCCCCTCCACCATTTCTCTTGCTGTGATTCTTGCCATCTCTTCTCTCGCCGGGCATAGCAGGGCTTCCTGCCCCTCGCTTCTTCCCCTCCCCACCCCACCTGCTACCCCCAAATTGTGCCCCAATATAATAAGACCCCCCCCCCAAAATAAAGCCAAGCCATTATTTCGGGGTTCAAAAAATATAAGACAGGGTCTTATTTTTGGGAAAACATGGTATATGAACATAAAGTACTAAACTATATATAGGTGACTTAAAGCCTACAGCATTTGTTTAGTTCCAGTGCAACATCATCCCAGTACATAGCACAGCAGTAATCTCTACTAATTATTCAGTGGGTTATATTATTAAAATGAGCATCAGAAACAGTAAAATACAATTACATTAGATAAGATAAAACAGTAAGATAAATGGCAAAACAGAATGCAAAGATATATGATGAAATGAATCCTAGAGATGGACAACAATAGGCAATTAAGTTAATTAATTACTTTTACATACAACCTCAATGTGTAGTATATAAGATGTCCTTTGTTGGAGATGCCTGACTATAAAATTAACAGTTCAAGTGACTACATATATATTTGGGCCCTGAAGGAAATACAATTATTTTGTTTGTTTGAGTCCTAGTATATCATTATTGTGAAGTAATATTTCTATGTATTGAGCCCTTGCTGAGCCATATAATGGACAATTGAGTAGGATATCTGAAGTAGTCAGGTGTCTTTAACTACATAAGAAAAATGTTACAGTTAAGCAAGTGTTTCTCCAACCCAGCAAGTTTATGAAGTGTGGATTTCAACTCCCAACTTCAGCATGCTGGTTGGGGAAATAAGAGATTAACTTTGGAGGTATTCTAGTCCAACACTCCCTACTCAGGAAACCCTACACCATTTCAGAGAAATGGTTGTCCAATCACTTCTTTTAAAATCTCCCCATGTTGGAGAGCCCAGAATTTCTGGAGGCAAGCTGTTCCACCGATTAATTGTTCTAACTGTCAGGAAATTTTGCCTTACTTCTAGGTTGGTCCTTTCCTTGATTAGTTTCCATCCATTGCATCTTATCCTGCCTTCAGGTGTTTTGAAGAATTGGTTGACTCCCTCTTCTTTGTGGCAGCCCCTGAGATATTGGAAGACTGCTATCATGTCACCCCTGCTTCTTCTTGTCATTGAACTAGACACACCCAATTTCTGCAACTATTCTTCATATATTTTAGCCACCAATCCCCTAATCATTTTTGTTGCTCTTCTCTGGACTCTTTCTATACTCTCTACATCTTTTTCTATTGTGGCAACCGAAACTGGATGCAATATTCCAAGTATGGTCTTACTGTGACATTATAAAGTGGCATTAACACTTCACATGATCTTGATTCTATCCCTTTGTTAATGCAGACTATGACTGTGTTGGCTTTTTTGGCAGCTGCAGCATTCAGGGAGTTGAGGTTCATGTCTCTTTTAGTTGCTGAGGTTTGAGAAAGAGATGAATTAAAGGATTGTTTTGGTGAACTTAAAACAAAAGAAAGTGGAGAAATGGGACATTAAGGTTTCATGAGGATGTGAAAAGTTTTGGTATATATGGTATATATATATGTCATGAAATGAACTCTCCCAACCTATAAGTCCTTCATGTGAAAGAATTCTGATTTTATTTATGAACAGACTTTGCCTCTTTCCATCTGTAATGAGAAATGTCCCTTTGGCTACAGCAAGGTAAAAATAGAAGATAAATTATCCTGCTGCTATGACTGTAGACAGTGTCCAGAAGGGAAGATAGCTGACCAAATGGGTAAGCAAAGGAATATATTGAATATTTACTTTTACTTGTACTTTACTTTATTTTGGATTTATATACTGCCCTACTCCCGAAGGACTCAGGGCGGTGAACAGCCAAGATAAAACACACATAATACAAAATTTAAAAAAGCAACGTAAAAACACATTAGATAATTTGGCCCAAACAGATTAAAACACCCTATTGTTTTAAAACAAATTTAAAATTAACAATTAAAAGGAAGTTAGGCCAGGCCAGCCTGTTGAAATAAAAAGGTCTTGAGGGCACGGCGAAAAGTGCAGAAATCCAGAATCCTCCATATCTCCAGGGGGAGCTCGTTCCAAATGGCAGGTGCCCCCACAGAGAAGGCTTTCCCCCTGGGGGCTGCCAGTCAACACTGTTTGACTGACGGCACCCTGAGGAGCCCCTCTCTATGGGAGCGTACTGGCTGGTGAGAGGCTACTGATGGCAGAAGGTGGTCTTGTAAGTAACCAGGTCCTAAGCCATAGATCACTCTAAAGGTGGTGACCAAGACCTTGAAGCGCACCCGGAAGACCACCGGGAGCCAGTGCAGCTCGCTCAGGAGAGGTGTTACATGGGAACGCCACGTCGCTCCCATAACCACCCGCGTGGCTGCATTCTGGACCAGTTGGAGCCTCCGGGTGCTCCTCAAGGGGAGCCCCATGTAGAGAGCATTACAGTAGTCCAGGCAGGAGGTGACGAGGGCATGAGTGACCATGCGTAAGGAGTCCCGATTGAGAAAGAGACGCAACTGGAGGATCAGGCGGCCCGATAGAAAGTCCTCCTGGCCACAGCCATCAAATGCTCTTCTAAAGACAGCCGTGAATCCAGGAGGACATCCAGGTTGTGAGCCCTCTCAATGGGGGCCAATGACTCACCCCCAATAGTCAGTGATGGCACCAACCTCCTCCCGGGAGGTTACACGAGGCTGGCTCCAGGGGATTATAACTGCCTCTCTGAGTGAGGGTGCCTTTCCCTCCGCCTTGAAAGAGGTGGTGGTGAGGCCCCTCCTCAAGAAGCCTTCCCTGGACCCGGCTGAATTAGCTAACTACCGTTCGGTTTGTGGCGAAGGTTGTTGAGAGTGTGGTGGCACGACAACTGCCCGGGCACCTGGATGAAGCTATCTATCTAGACCCATACCAGTCGGGCTTCAGGCAGGGGCACAGCACAGAAACGGCATTGGTCGCATTGGTGGATGATCTCTGGAGGGCTCGGGACAGGGGTTGCTCCTCTGTCCTAGTCCTATTAGATCTCTCAGCGGCTTTTGATACCATCGACCATGGTATCATGCTGCAGCGGTTGGGAATAGGGGGCACCGTTCTGCAGTGGTTCTCCTCCTTCCTCTCCGACCGCTCACAGTTTGTGTTGGCAGGGGGGCAGAGGTCGACCTCGAGGCATCTCGCATGGGTCGCGGCCGCGCGGGTGGTTATGGGTGCAACTCGTTGTGCCCGCGTGACACCCCTCCTGTGCGAGCTGCACTGGCTCCCAGTGGTCTTCCGGGTGCGATTCAAGGTGTTGGTTACCACCTTTAAAGCGCTCCATGGCATAGGACCCGGGTACCTTCGAGACCGTCTTCTGCCACCAATAGCCTCCCACCGACCAGTCTGTTCCCACAGAGAGGGTCTCCTCAGGGTGCCATCAGCCAAGTTATGTTGGCTGGCGACACCCAGGGGGAGAGCCTTCTCTCTGGGAGCACCAGCCCTCTGGAATGAACTGCCCCTGGAAATACGTAAGATCTCTGACCTCCGGGTGTTTCTCTGTGCACTGAAGACCCTGTTGTTCCGCCAGGCAGGGCTATCAATATAATAATTTTAAATTGGGGTATTTTAATTTTGGGGGGTTTTAAATCGGCCAAATTTATTTAATTATTTTAATTTTTAATCATTGTTGTGTCCTGTGTTTTTAAATTGGCTGTACACTGCCCTGAGTCCTTCGGGAATAGGGCAGTATAGAAATAGAATTATTATTATTATTATTATTATTATTATTATTATTATTATTATTATTATTATTATATCAGGATGCCGGAAACCACAGCCACTCGGTCTTGGATGGGTTAAGCCTGAGTCTGTTTCTCCCCATCCAGATCCGCACAGCCTCCAGGCACCGGGACATCACTTCAAGGGCATCATTGGGGTGGTCCAGGGTGGAGATGTACAGCTGAGTATCATCAGCGTACTGATGGTACTTCACCCCGAAACCATGGATGATCTCACCCAGTGGCTTCACATAAATGTTGAACAGAAGCGGTGAGAGGACTGACCCCTGAGGCACATACAAGGCGCCTCGGGGTTGACCTCTGCCCCCCTGCCAACACAGACTGTGACAGGTCAGAGAAAGGAGGAGAACCTCTGCCCCCCCACCCCCAACTCTTCCAACTGGTGCAGCATGATACCATGGTTGATGGTATCAAAAGCCATTGAGAAAAGGACCAGGACAGAAGAACAACCCCTGTCCCGAGCCCTCCAGAGATCATCAACCAACGCGACCAATGCCGTTTCCGTGCTGTACTCAGGACTGAAGCCCGACTGGAATGGATCTAGATAAACCGTTTCATCCAGGTACTGGGGAAGCTGTCGCGCCACCACACTCTCAACAACCTTCACCCCAAAGCGAAGGTTGGAGACTGGACGATAATTTGCTAACACTGCCGGGTCCAGGGAAGGTTTCTTGAGGAGAGGCCTCACCACCACCTCTTTCAAGGTGGAAGGAAAGTCACACTCACTCAATGAAGCCTTAATAATCCCCTGGAGTCAGCCTCATGTAATCTCCCGAGAAGCCAGCACCAACCAGGAGGGACACAGGTCCAATAAACATGTGGCCACGCTCAGTCTACCCAGAATCCTGTTCACGTCTTCGGGAGTCACAGGGTCAAACTTTTCCAGGATAATATTCTCAAGACCTGCCTCCATCATCCCCCCTGAATCTACCCAGTCAGAGTCCAAGTCTTCCCGAATCTGAGCGACTTTGTCATACAGATACTGCACAAAGTCCTCGACCCTGCCCTCCAAGGGGCCCTCCCATGCTCCCTGGTGGAGCAGGGAGTGGGTCACCCTAAACAGGGTGGCCAGGCGATTATCTGATGATGCAATAAGAGTGGAAAAATAATTACATTTTGCCGCTTTTATCGCCACTAGGTAGGTCTTAATATGAGATCTTACCAGTGTTCGGTCAGATTCAGAAAGGCTGGCCCTCCAACTGCTCTCCAGGCATCTTTTCTGGTGCTTCATCTCCCTCAGCTCCTCGGTGAACCAAGGAGGCAGGTGAGACTGGCACCGGGTCAGGGGCCGCAAAGGCACGACTTGGTCCAAAGCTCCAGCGGCCGCCCTATCCCAGGCGGCCACTAGGTCTTCTGTCGAGTCATGAGCCAGAGCCTCAGGGAATGGCCCAAGCTCCGTCTGGAACCTATCCGGATCCATCAGGTGCCTGGGGCGGAACCATCTCATCGGTTCCGCCTCCCTGTGGCGAACTGTGGTGGTTCGAAGGTCAAAGAGAAGGAGGGAGTGATCTGACCATGACAAGGGCTCAATCGCTATATCCCCTATCTCCAGATCACTCTGCCACTGACCAGAGACAAAAACCAAGTCCAGCGTGTTTCCCCCCCATGTGAGTAGGGCCATGAACTAACTGGGTCAGGTCCATAGCCGTCATGGTAGCCATGAACTCCCAGACCACCTCAGAAGCCTCACCGACAGATGGCAAGTTAAAATCCCCCATGACCATAAGCCTGGGGGGAATCAACCGCCACCCCGGCTATAACGTTGAGCAACTCAGGCAGGGCTGCCGCCACGTAGCAGCGAGCCAGGTACGTAATCAGCAAGCCCATCTGTACCCCATGACCCCACTTCACAAGGAGGGACTCACATCTGGCAGTCTGAGGAACAGTGGCCTCCCTCGGACCAAGACCTTCTTTAATGACAACCGCCACCCCCCCGCCGCTCCCCTGTGACCTCGGCTGATGAAATGCATGAAAACCGGATGGGCACATTTCAACAAGGGGGACTCCCCCTCCTGGCCCAACCAGGTCTCTATAATACCCGCCAGGTCCGCTCCCCCCTCCTGAACAAGATCACAAATGAAGGGGGCTTTATTTACCATGGACCTGGCATTCATAACATCAGCCGAAGGCTCAGGCCCTAAGGATCTGTGCAGCCCGGGGAACGAGAGGAGCATTGGGGGCCGGAGCGTGCCACCACTCGAAGACAGCGAGCGCGCACTCCCACAACATGATATGGCCTCCTGCTCCCACCATATCTGCCCCTCCCACCCACAGTACTGATGTAATGCCCATCATTGGCACAAGCTCTAACCCCATCCTTGACCCTGAGTCCCGCACCTCCCATGTTGCACCCCTCAGCTGACCAGGCCCCCTCCTCAGTGGGTTGTCCCCCACACCCACAAATCTAGTTCTAATCCAACCCTCCCCCCCTGGAACCCTTTAAAAATTGCGCTAAAAATTTAAATAAAAACCCCCTCAACCTCCTCTTCGCCGCATGCCACCTCTCGGGGTTCCAAAACCCGTCATCAAGGTAGGCCCTCGATAGTGTGGAGGGCCAGGCGTGCGAGAGGGGGGAGTCTCGCAGCACAAGGAGCTCGGCCGCTGAATACATTTGATGACCAGGGGTGATGATATGGCCCTAGGGTCAAAGATGGTAATCTAGAATCAGTCTGAAAATCCCAGAGAAGAAGAAACTGCAAGTCTGGGTGCCGGTAGAGTAAATTCCACTGTCCTCTCATGACATTGGAGGAGTCTGATGCTATTTACGAGCACCGGGGAGTAACATCCAAAGCCACCCTCTCACGGTGGTTGGCCAGAGTGAAAATGGCCATTTTGGAGTCCGATGAACCGTCCCTGTTGGTGGTGCAATAGAGCGATGAACCGGCTCCTACAGTACCCACATCCTAACTGCCAACTCTCTGACCGACTGAAAGAAGCTGATGGAATATAGAGGCGGTCCATGGAATCCGGCCAGTGGCGATATCATGGGAAGATAAGATGGAATACAAGATGGAGTACAAGGGAGATGTTTTTGCAGTGGGAAAACCAGTCAGATGACGAGTGATGGACATGAGTCCTAAGACCAGGCCGGGGGGGGGGGGCAATGCAAGGCAACTGGAATAACCATTCCACAATCGACCGACAGCCCCTCCAAGCTACCCCCAGATCTTCTTCCAGGAATCACATGATTCACACACTCAGCCTCTACCCGACTCAGTATAGACCTCCGGGTCGCTGCGGGAGCCACCCCTCCTAAATGTGGCAAACGTCCCACAGTAATCCAGGGAATTCCATGATGGTAGGCCACAAAAAACAACTCCCTGTAGCAGTCTGTAGCAGAATAATTATTGATATATTCAAATTATTGAATATATCAATAATTTAATAAATATAATTGGGATTGAATTTTTAATCAGTATTATGGTGACTGAAAATCCTGAGCTGTCTGATAGTTGTATAGATGAGCAATGAAAAACGTGAATGACTTTTTTCTAATTCAAGGAGATATTGAATGTCTATGGAGATTCTTAATCATCCAAAGTAGTTTTGTCTCAAGGTTGCTTTTTCAAAAGAGAAGTGAAGTTCCTTTTTTCCTTGAAGACATTTTACTTCTCATCCAAGTAGCTTCTTCAGTTCTGACTGACTTGCTGCACTCAGAACTGAAGAAGTTTCTTGGATGGGAAGCAAAATGTCTTCAAGGAAAAACACGAAAGTCCGGTTCCTTTTTGAAACAGCATTTTTGGGAAATATTTAATGGTACAATCAACCAGTTCACTTTAAATAACATAATCTCTCTTAAGGATCAATAGATTTCTCAGATTTGGATTTTTCTTCTTATTGCTTGTAGACATTTGGCAGGTAACCTATGCCTTTCTAAAAAAATTCAGAAGTCTTTTTATTATTTATTTTTGACTGTAAGATCATTTTCCATCAAATTCAATCCGTAGAACATTTTTTCCTGCCATTTCAACTATTTTTCCTTCATATTCCAGCTGGACAGTAAGTGTCATATAAATATTTTGAGATAACTGTGTAACTTAAAGAATATTAAAACTGAACACTGCATTATATAATGTATTTCATTTTAAATTATTTTGAGAAAAATAGTACAAACTCATTGGATCTTATTAAATCTAGTGTTACTTTTTCATTCTTAAATCCTATAATGGTTCTGTGAAACAGTTTTATTTGTTCTTTTCTCCCAGACTTAGATGATTGTTTCCCATGTCCAGAGGATCAACATCCAAACAAAGGTCGAGATAATTGTCTTCCAAAAACTGTAACTTATTTGAGTTTCCAAGAGCCATTGGGTATTTCTTTGGTAACAATTTCAGTTTCCTTTTCTGTCATCTCAGCTATGGTGTTGGGAATCTTCATTAAACACCAGGACACTCCCATTGTCAAAGCCAACAACAGGAACCTCACCTACATTCTTCTCATTGCTCTCCTGCTCTCCTTCCTTTGCACTCTGCTCTTCATTGGGCAACCTAATCAAGTGAAATGTCTCTTGCGACAAAGTACTTTTGGCATCACCTTCTCTATAGCCCTTTCTTGTATTTTGGGTAAAACAACCATAGTAGTTCTTGCTTTCATGGCCACCAAGCCAGGCTCCAAAATGAGGAAGTGGGTGGGGAGACGAATGGCCAACACGATTGTCCTATCTGTCTTCATGGCTCAGTTCACCATCTGTGTAGTGTGGTTGGCAATTTCTCCCCCATTTCCAGATTCAGACATGCACTCCATGGTTGAAGAAATTGTCTTAGAATGTAATGAAGGTTCCACCACAATGTTTTATACTGTCCTTGGCTTTATGGGGCTCTTGACTGCTGTCACTTTCACGGTGGCCTTCTTGGCTAGGAATTTACCTGACAGCTTCAACGAAGCGAAATTCATCACCTTCAGCATGTTGGTCTTTTGCAGTGTCTGGGTGTCATTTGTTCCCACCTACTTGAGCACCAAGGGGAAATATGTGGTTGCTGTGGAGATCTTCTCCATTTTGGCTTCAGCAGCTGGATTACTGGGCTGCATCTTTTTCCCCAAGTGCTATATCATTATTCTGAGACCTGATTTGAATAAGAAGGTGCAACTAACAAAAAAATAAAACTGATATTTAATCCAGACCCCTTGGATGAAGCCTAATTGTTTATTTTCATGAAACAGGGCTTTCTTTGTTCTGTTTTTGCAGTTTGGGGAGTCAACATTCTTCCCTCATATCACCACATCAAAGTGACATACAAGGGCGTAGCATGATATATAGAGAGACACAGATATTAAAGTTGCAGTCAGTCTGTGACAGCACAAGAGATAATGCAGCATGTTTTTAAAAGTTTTATTGTTAAATTATTCTGATTTTAATGTTAATTTTGTTGATTATAAAGTATACTGATCTTGCCACATGTCATCCTTAATAAAGTGTCTGCATTTCCTGCATTGGATGAGGAGAACACATTTTCCGCCTTTTGTCCTGGCCCCTCTTTACAGAGGGATCATTGAGAGAGTTTTAACAAAGTGCATCACTGTTTGGTTTGGTGGAAGCAGTGTGTCAGATAGAAAGTCCATATTGGACTTTCCATATATATTGAGAGTGGTGAGGACAGCTGAGAAGATTATAGGAAGCTCACTTTCTGTTATTCAGGATATTGCTTATGAGAGCTATGTGCTTAGAGCTCAAAGCATTGTTAGAGACCCCACACACCCACTTCATGGTCTCTTGCTCCCTTCTGGGAGGAGGTTTCGAAGTATTTCTAGCAGGACTACCAGATTCTGTAACATCTTTGTTCCCTAGGTCATCCATCTGGTAAACTCACAATTTTTCTCTCCATTTACATGTATACATCCAAACTAGACTGTGCTGTTTCTCTGTGTCCTGTAATAAATGTGTGTATATGCATATTTCTTTATTAATTTTGTCATGTTTATGTAGTGCATTTTGGAGGTGGTGACCTTTTGAGAGTTGTATGCAATGAAATTATATTTTTATATATGCCAATTAGTGTACATTCAAAGTGAAAATAAAATTATTCTAAGTTTAATTCTACACCTCTCAGAGTTTCTCTCTGAGGGAGATGGGAAGTTAAGAAATATGAAATAGAAATTAGTAAAGAAATGTTGATCTTCCTCTACGTGAAGATTCCCATGTAAAAGAGAGGACCAAGAGAGTTAGAGAGTACCGGAAAAGTAAACATACAGAAAATTCATGTGACTGCAATCTGTCATTCAATGCACCTGACATGTTCTTCTAAAGAAACATTTTTCTTTATTATCAGGTCACTTATGCAGGTAGAGACATTGAAAAGCCACACATGAAGGTGGCCTAAAAATCAATAGTTGTGACGATCTCTTCAAAATTGATTTCAGAATATAGTTTCTCCGCATCTTTTCTTTGAAACATTAGATAATTATTTTGAGCCCTAATCAGTATAAACTGGAATAGCCAATCAAGAAGACAATTCTGTCTTTTTTTTTTAATACTACAATGTTCAAAGGTTCATTTTAATGGCATATTTGAAGTCATTGATAGACAATTGCACTCTTTTGAAAATAATTGACTTTGTGTCCTGTAGCCCTTAGTCTTCACAAGATCTCTGCCAAAAGAGAAAACAACCAAGCCTCCCAATATTCTTCACAACCATTGTTTTTTTTTTTTTTTTAAAAAAGAGGAATCCCCACTAATCCCCACTGCCCCAAATCTGAATGTTTGAGACCCACTTTGGGTAGCGTAGTATGCTAGGAACTAGGGAACCATCAATTCTAGTCCTCATTGAGGCATTGTCACTTTTATTCATAAGCATTGAATGACAATTCAATTTAAAAGTCTGGCTAGGTGGCTCAGTGGCTAAGACACTGAGCTTGTCGATCAGAAAGGTCAGCCTTTTGGCGGTTCGAATTCCTAGTATAGGAATTATACTATAAGAAGGTAAAAGAAAAAAAAATAAAAGCAGTTGCTTTTAAAAGTAGATCAGTCATGTCATGACAGGTCATGTAATGTCATGTCATATGATGTAGCAGGCTTACCTCTAAGATATGATCCACAGCACCCCTCAAAGGACCTAATGGTAACAAATGCAATGATGAAACAGTTAAAGCAAACCTCTTTAACACATTCTTTGACCCAGTCTTTGTAAACAGCAATGACCAACATTCCCTAGTCGTACCACTAATAACTACAACAATCTAACACAAATAGATTTCACAGAAGATAACATTGAAAAGGCACTACATCTCTATCTATCTATAAAATCATCTCTATCTATTGGACCTGATGGACTATGTGCATACTTCTTAAAAAAGCTTTTCACTGCTATAGCAGAACCCCTAAGCATAATCTTTGAAAAGTCTTTCAGGACCAGCTCCCTACCCAACCTATGGTCACTAGCCACGGTCATCCCTGTCTTCAAAAAGAGAGACCCCAGCCTAGTCGAAAATTACAGACCAATCTCTTTATGCTGCATCACCTGCAAAGTCATGGAATCAATCATCAACCAATCCATTACCCTCCATCTAGAAACCTACTCTCTAATAAACAATTTGGTTTCAGAAAAATATTATCCTGTAATCTACAACTTCTACGCTGCAAAAACATATGGACTATAAATCTTGACCAGGGCAAAGCAATAGATGCAATTTACATAGACTTTCATAAAGCCTTTGATTCAGTGGTACATGACAAACTACTTCTAAAATCCTATGCCATCTCCGGACCCCTACATAATTGGATAAATGTGTTCCTGTCAAACAGACAACAAGTGGTCAAAATAGGGAGTGCCCTATCAAATCTTGCACCTGCTAATAGCAGTGTCCCCCAAGGCAATGTTCTAGGACCAACACTCTTCATACTATACATACTGTAAATGACCTATATGATCATATTGTAAGTAACTGTGTTCTCTTCACCAATGATGTAAAACTATTTAACACCACCAACAATGCTTCTCCCTTCAAAAAGACCTTGTTTTTGTGTCAGAATGGTCAAAAAGTTGGCAACTCCAAATCTCAACCAACAAATGCTCTGTCTTACACATTGGCAAAAGGAATCAGAACACAAAATACAAGCTGAGTGGACATGACCTTGTAAATGGCCCTCACTCTGTCAAGGACCTTGGAGTATTCATATCAAATGATCTAAGTGCCAAAGCCCACTGTAACAACATCGCCAAAAAGACATTAGGGTTGTAAATCTAATCTTGCATAGTTTCTTCTCCATAATATTACACTACTAACCAAAGCATACAAAACATTTGCTAGACCAATTCTTGAATACAGCTCATCTGTCTGGAACCCTCACTGCATATCAGACATAAATACAATTGAACGTGTCCAGAAATATTTCACAAGAAGAGTCCTCCATTCCTCCGCTCGCAACAAAATATCTTATGCCACCAGACTTGAAATTTTGGCTTAGAAAATTTAGAACTACGCCGCCTTCAGTATGACCTAAGCATAGCTCATAAAATCATCTGCTACAATGTCCTACCTGTCAATGACTATTTCAGCTTCAACCACAATAATACATGAACACACAATAGATACAAACTTAAAGTGAACTGCTCCAAACTCAATTGCAGAAGATATGACTTTAGCAAAAGAGTGGTCAATGCCTGGAATTCACTACCTGACTCTGTGGTTTCATCCCCAAACCCTCAAAATTTTGACCATAGACTGGCTACTGTTGACCTCACCCCATTCCTAAGAGGTCTGTAAGGGGCATGCATAAGAGCACCAGTGTGCTTACCGTCCCTGTCCAAATGTTCCCTTTAATTGTATTCATTTTATGTATTCAATTCATGCTTATATATATTATCTAATATGTACTCGACAAATAAATAAAAAATAAATAAATAAACATTTGACTTTCCGATCTTGTAAGGGCCTTCCAGAAGGATGACATGGTTGGGGCCAGCCACATCCATGAGAGCAAGAATGATCCCCAAGATAAGGCCAGGGCAGAAAGTGCTTTCCTGCTAGGTCCTACCTAACAAAATGCACAGACTAGTCCAGTGATGGCGAACCTTTTAAACACTGAGTGCCCAAATTGTGCACGCAAGCATGCCCAAATGGAAAGCTATGACTGAACATGTGCATGCATGGACATGCGCGCATGTGCATGCATGGATATGCGTGAACACGGACATGCATGGACATATGGACAAAGACCAGCTGGCAGGGCATCCCAACACCGGCAGCACAGCAAGAGGAAAAGATCTTTTTCTTTTGTGAGCTTCTGTTTCTGTTTCATCGTTTGCAGGGAAACAGAGGCTCACAAAAGCAACGCCATGGAGATCTGACCTGGGGTGATGGTGTACATGCCAGCAGAGAGGGCTCTGCGTGCCACCTCTGGCACGCGTGCCAGAGGTTCGCCATCACGGGACTAGTCCATCTAGAGCTTAAGTAATTGTTGCAGTACCACTTTCTGAGGTAGATCCTGTATTTAGCAACGGGGAGAACATGATGACCTCAACAGTTTCTTTTTTTTTTCTAATTGCACTTTGTTTTCTTCTTCTGTGCATAATACCTCCCACTCCAACATTTCCTACTTTGTGTATTACTTCCAAAGGTTCATGAAAGTGCTGCATTGAGTATTGAGATATGGTAAACACGTTTCCTTCTGATATTCTTCAGAACTTTTGGAACAATAATAGTACTGATTACTAATTAACCATAGTCAGTGTCCCTTCTACTCCGCCTCTCAAGGGAATTTCAGTAGACACTGACAAAACTAGATTAAGACACTGCATAGCATTAACATCATCTCAGAAATACAGGACTGCAGGCAGGGAGACAAAGAAGGATTTGCATTTGATCTGTAAATGTAAATGAGTGCCCAACCCAGGTCCTTGGCTGAATGGTAACATAGCAGTTGCTCTTTACTTTCCATAATGACTGTATATTACAGTGATTTGGTTATATTCAGGACCCTAGTTTTATCTTTTTTTCCTACCATGTTAATTTCTCCTATTTACAATTGCAAGCTCAGTAGTCCTCTTCCAGTGGTTCACAAGTATTATCAGTCTGGGGACTTAATCATTGCTGCAATTATTTTTCAAGTCTTCTTTGTTTCAAATGAGATCACTTTTGAAAGCCTTCCTACTCATGAAATACTTGATCAGTACTTGTAAGTATCCCCCTGCTCCTCCTGGTCCTCCTCTTATTTTCCTTATTTCTACCTATACTGTTTTATCTATCTTCCATTTTTCTGCTGAAACGTTTCATTTGCTAGTTGGTCAGTATGCTAATTTCAATGTCCATGGTTAGCCATTTTTAATTCCAGAACTGAGAATAAATTTGTCCAATCACTGGAGATTAAATTGGGACAAATCACACTTTCTAGGACACTAAAAAGCTTGACAAATTTTAAACTTGCAGATGTCCTCAGTATAATCTTGAGCTTCTTCACATTTTATATCAACCAATAATTAAAACAGTAA